GAACGTATAATTAGTAGAACGAACAGACACAGAATTGAACAGACCACTAATTCAAAATATGTATTCGGCTATTATTGATGTTCTAGACAGGCGTTATACAAATAATACAACTTTAATGATTTGTTCCACTTTAGACCCTAGATTTAAAATTAAATTTATACCACATGATGATGTATCAGAATTAAACACAAAAATAATTGAACTATGTGAAACAAATTTAAAAAAAAGTACAAACAATGAAACATCTGATAGAAGTTATAGGAGTCAACCACATGGCCAAAAAAAAAGGAAAACAGGAATATCAGCAATTTTTTGCATTCCAGAAATTGAAAATGTTCATAATATTCAAGTAATAATTGCAAATCTATATTCATAAATACAAACACTTAAAAAACTATATTAATTATGAATGCTTATGATTTCAGGAAATTACCATTACCCTAAGAATGAAGATTGAAAGTGAGTTAAACTTATACCTTACAATACCAAATTGTAACTTCGATCAAGAACCACTGGAATATGAATAAAGATACATATCCAATGTTATCTTTATTAGCAGAAAAATGTTTGACAGTGCAAGCTACAAGTGTAGCCTCTGAACGTGTGTTCAGCAAAGGTGGCTGTATTCTAACAGATCTAAGATCATCTTTAAGCAATGAACATGCAAGCCAGCTCATATACTTAACAATGAATAAAGACTATGTCCCTAAACCAATATTTTAATTATTTTATTTTATTTTTTATGATTTTACAACACAGTATGATTTTATTTTAATATTTATGAGGAATTTGATTTAATTTAAATTCATTTATTTACAATATAAGTTGGTCAAGTTGTACTTTAATATTTTATAAATTTACTATGTAGTACCTATTATTCTAGTATTTACTAAGATAATCTTTCATTGTTATTTCTGTTCTAGAATAGTAAATAAATTATACATTAAAAAAGTTTTACAATTTTTTCTAGGAACAGCAAAATAAATTAACAATTTTAAAATTAATATTACCTACTCATTAAACATACTTATAGACTATGGTTGGAAAGTTATGGACTTATAGTGACCAGATACAATGTCCTAAACAATAGGACTTAATAGTTAAGTACATGGTATTGTACCCTTTTTTTTGGAAAACGTTATAGGTTAATACATGTCAATTATTTTTTCTATGCTTTGAATATTTATTTATATATTATGGTTTGACCTAATGCATATTAATACAAAATTATATTTCAACTTTGTCAGATTAGTATGAACCACATTTTTTGCTCACATAAATCAAATTTAAAACTTTAAAATCAGAAAGTTATCTGTTATTGAAAGTAGTGGATCTCAGAAATATAATTCAGTTTTTTAGTATGTTAAAATTAAAAAATATAGGTAACTGAGATTACTTTTTGATCATATAGGAAAAATGTTATTGTTTTTATAAATTTAAATGTTTTGGTTTTATTATACAATTCAAATACTGTCAAAGTTAAATATTTAGGAAATATATTAATAATGATTTGTACTTAATGTTTTATTTTTTCAATAATAATAGGCAATAGCCAATAGGTAGGTACATTAAAATATATAGGTATTTTGAATCTATTAACTTTCAAAGTATTTTCCCTAATAAGTTGACATTACAGTGAAATTATTATTTCAAATTACAATTTTTATAGTTACCTAATAATAGGAATAGAAATATTTAACAAAATAATCATAAAAAAAAACAATTTATGTAGCTCTAGCCTCTACAAACGTCAAACGTGCATACTATTACCATAGTTTTAAAATTGTATTGATTATAATTTTGTTTTATGTACCTACCGATTTATATCATTTATAATGTATTTATAAATAATAACCGATTATAGTTTAAATATCGATTATAACCGATTATAGAATATGTACCGATTAATATCGATTATAATTTATGTGTAAATAATAATCGATTATAGTTAAAGTATCGATTATAACCGATTATAGAATACGTACCGATTAATATCGATTATAATTTATGAGTAAATATTAACCGATTATAATTTAAGTATCGATTATAATCGATTATAATTTGTTGACTGATAATTATCGATCATAATTTATGTGTAAAAAAAATAACCGATTATACCGATTATAATCGAAATAATTTCCTACATATCGATTATATGGAAATAAAATAATCGCGCAGCCCTATGCCTGGGAATCGTTGTACACGGGACATCGACGTATCGTTATATACTTATATAAAGCATCGTAATTCGTAACAGAATAATACAATGTTCGTAATAAACGTCTTGTACTATATTTAGATTTTATGCGTTTCAAATAGTACATGGTAGCACCACGGAAACAATGTCATCACTTACCGCTACCACTACCCCATCCCCCGCCACGCCGTACGAAATCCGTCGTCGAGACGAAACATGTACAACAGGCATGTACAATAATTCGTATATATGTAAATAAACACTTCACTTGGTTGACGTTGTGCCGTTTTGTGCCCAATAATACCCGGGGCGGCTCGTCACAGGAGAGTCCGATACCGCTAGATAAATTATAATTATCTAAAAATAAAAATGTATATAAGTAATTGAAAATATATTATATTGTAACATCGTGTTATCGTATATTATATCGTCGGTATGTCGATGTCAATATTATTTTAATAATTCGGTCGACGGTCGACGGATTTAGTGAAACTGCCGCCCGACAGTAATTTCAATCATAATGTTATCGGCGAGTGGCCGGGAAGAAAAATCCATTGAAAGTGGATACACGACATAATATAATATGCAATGCCGCCCCTCCGTAGTCATTGTACATAAAATTTGAACATAAAAAAGGCCTGTTCTCTTATATAATAATAAATTATGTAAAATCCTGAATGACAATAATTCATTAAGTTATTCGATTTTAAATTACAACAAAATAACAAATTCGCTACATGAGAAATCTAGTGAATATTCAATCTTGCACAAAAATTGAACTTCAAACGCTCAAAAAATTTTATTTGATTTGCTTGTAGACATTTCTTTTTTTGATTAAGGTAGACAAACTTATGAGGAATCTTGTATTGCATTTTAAAGCTTTTTGACCCAACGAAACTAATTTCATTGTCATCTATAGAGAAAATACCTAAAAAAGTGGACCTAAAAAACCAAGTTAAAATATTTTGAAAATGTTATCGTGTATAGCAAAATATGCTAATATAAGCAACCAGTGAAAATGTCATGATTTGTAGTAATAGTTTTTACTTTTTAGTCATCGTCGTAGTCTCGAGGTCTTCGTTATTATTGGTGTACCTACACCTCGCATAATATTGTAAACGTAATATCTTGAAAAATCAAGTTAAATCGTGACTCAATTGTTATTTATTATTATAATCTACAGTCCACAATAAGAGTAAAATTACTTTAGCATAACCTGCGCATTTATGGTACCAACCATAATACGAAACTCATAGGTACTCGATGCCTACTCGAAAAAAGGCCCAAAAATATTCGAGGGATATAACCAGGGACGGATTGGACCACCGGGAATTCACGGGAGTTTTCCCGTTAGGCCACTTTTTCAAATAACTATGTATATTAAAATTAAAATTCTTAAATGCCTATTAGGTACGCATTTTTTTTCCGATTTTTCAAAATACGATAATACGAATTGGATTGTGGACAGTATGCAACAGTATATCAGGTAGGTAATCTACCTACGGGCTACGGTGGATTGCAGACGGTATACTACCAAAAAGTCCTAGGAAAAAAAGTCCGTGGTTAAAAATTCTAAGGTATAAAAAGTCCGTGGTTAAAAAGTCCGAGGTATAAAAAGTCAACGGTGGAAAAGTCCAAAATATAAAAAGTCCATGGTGAAAAAGTCCGGTACATATAATTAGGTAAAAGGAAAAATACCATGTGATGCATGATCATTTTCTTTATCATGATGTGATGCACAATCAAACTTCCAATTAGTATAAATATAAATTGTAACTAAATTATTTACCTGACAAAATTAATAATTTTTTTTTTTTTATTGGGTAACCCGCGGCAACATAGGGCATTGGGTTAGGTTAGATTAGGGTTTATGGCAGAATTTTCGAATTGGGCACCAGTAAGTATCTAACCTAATCGTGACTTGCCCGGAGAAAAATGCCGCCCGGCGACGCGCACAAAATTAATAAATAATCTCGTAGGTATGTACCAATAACTACTTTTTGGACTTTGAACACTGCTTGACTTTTAGTTGCATGTAATAATGAAATACCATTTCTTTTATCTTAATTATCTGGTTTGTCGAGTTTTACTCGTACCTATATCTGATATACATCCGATATACCTAGTTAATATAGATAGAGATATTTATTATCTATAGGTGGTGGACATACTCCACCGTGTAACTACATATCGTAGGTACATAGGTAACTGAACAGTTGTGATTTTTGTCAGTATAGTTCGACGTTTTGTTAGTATAGTTCGACATTCCGTAAGTGCCTGAAAAAATGTCAGAAATGTCAGAAATCATACAAATCAACGAAAAAGGCACCAAAATAGTTGTGGGTGGTTATGCATATACCCTTCAACATACATTATTAGGTTATGATACTAACTACATAATATTATAATCATTGAATTTTTTTTTGTATAATATTTTATATTATGACGATAGTTAATAGGTACTCAATTTAATTAATTAATATTTAATTGATATATTATGTATACAGTGTCGGACTGGCTCGAAAAGGCCCAGTCCGCGATTTGGAAAAAAGGGCCCCTAAGGCCCTAATAGGCAAATGGCAAATGTTTTGATTAGCCCGGAAAAAAAGTTACACCACCTGTGACATTAAACATTATAAAGAAAAACACCGATTTAAATTGTGTCATATTTTCATATTTATTTTAATTACAACTTACAAATGTCAATAAGTACATCATTTTTATAATAATACATTTTTTTAAATTAATATTAAAGATATAAAAGGTAGGTAAAGCAAATTGGACAATACATATGAATAACATCTCAAATCAATAACCTTGATAGTTCAGTTGAACTTTTAGCAATAGTATTTACAACAATTTCCTTATCAACAACATAATCTCTTTCAATATTTATCATTAACAAAGCTTCCATAATATCTTGAGAAATTAATGATCTTAATTTAGTTTTAATGTTTTTAACTTTGGAAAATATACGTTCACATGTAACTTGTGTACATGGTAATGTCGAAACAAATTTATATGCCAAGTATATATTATTAAAAGAGCCTGATTGTTGAACAATTTCGTACAAAATATTAAAAGCGCATCTTAAACAATTATTACACGTATTGCATTCCAAACTGTGTTTAGTTCTGATTCAGAGTTGGAGTCATTGTCAAAAGATAGATCATTTTTTGAAAATGTATCATTAAAATTTTTAGTTATTGTATCATATTGAATTGCAAATTGTTGGAGTTCAGATGTTAAAACATGTACACTTATTTTTGTCAATTCAGAAAGTTTTAATAGTGAGTTTTCAGGTAAACCACTTTTAATATTTTTAAAATTTTTAGGGTCTAAGCAAATACAATCTTTAAGTAATTCTGAATTGCTAACAAATCTTTTTTCCATACTATTAATCATAATATCAAGGATATAATTATATGTTTCAACTTTAAACCTTTTTTCTGTGGAAACGTCAGGTCTTTCATCAGATGCTAATTCACCAGGCATTTTATTTATTTTTGGCACTCTACTTACAGAATTCTTACTAAACTTATTTTTTATTCTAAAATCTATATCATTTAATTCTAATTCCTTATTAATTTTTGTTATAAAATTTTGAACATCAGAAATAAGTTTATTAAATATTTCATCGCCATTATATCTTTTTTCTTTAATTTGATTTAGTAAATTTGTTGTCATATTAAAAGCTATTAGATAATTTAATGAGCGTGATTGTAAAAACTTTGATACAGGAAAACTTATAGTAAAAATATCAAGGTAAATAGCTGCAGTTAAAATAATTTCAAATTTTGACCAATTTTGTAAAAGTGTATGAGCCGTGTATTTAGTTTTTGCATCAAATTTTGATTCACTAGAAGTTATTTCCAATAAAAAATGTAAGAATAACAAAAATCGGGAATCCTTGACATTAGGCTCGTTAAACTGAATTATAGAAGATAATGCCTTGTCCTTACTCCACCACCTAGTTGCTCCAATCAAGTTCAATTTTCTAAGTTTATCATGACTTTTATGGGTTTGTTTAGTTAAATCTGACCATACTTTCATTCTTTTATGAGAATCTAAAAGAAAAGTAGCTGATTGTTGAACTAACCCAAAGAGAAATTCAGCATTTTTGCAACATTCTGATGAATCTACCATAACTAAATTTAATACATGACCCAGGCAGTGAGTATATATACATGAAGGATTCGCATTTTTCTTTAAATGTGATTGCAAGCCATTATAAACACCTTTCATATTAGATGCCCCATCAAAAGAGCAACCTACAATTTTATTCATATCTAAATCTATTTCAGAAAATTCTTTTGCAATTAAATTATTAAATTATAAATATTATTTGATAGAAATGTTACTAAAGATCCTCTACCACGGGTCTGAGAAAGAGTATTATTATTTTTTTTACCTCCAGCTTTACGTTTTTTACTTAACTCAATACAATTTTTAACATGCATATTCAATACAACATCATAATCTTTAATAAGCAATACTAGTTCCAAAAAATTTCCATGATTAATAGTCCTATCCTCTAAGCTATAAGCTGCTTCATCTTTACCACGAAAAGCTAATCCTTGCCTACCAATAAACATTATTATATCAATGAGCCTTTTAATGACCAAACGGTTAAATTCTACTTCTTTGGAATGAATTTCCCTTAAATTAATATTAATACAACTCTCAATATTTTTGTTTAAGTTAGCTTGTAATAAAGCAGAAACTGCTTCACCGTGTGTTTTTGATTGTTCATGTTTTTTAACTGTACCATAAACATTTTTTGAATTTAAGACTTCTAATCCAGTTACTAAATTGCTAATATTTTCACGTCGTGGACAAAATGTCATACATGTAGTACAAAATATTCTTTTACTATAAGAACAATAAGATAACCATTTGCGCTGAACTTTTTGAGAATCACTTAAAGTCTGATAATACATTTTTTGAGGATCAAATGGAAGTTTATCATTACTTAAAACAAGAGGTTGAATGGGATGACTTTTTAAAAAAGCTAATTTGATTTCTACTGATTCATTACTAGCGGGTCTAATAAAAAATGCTAAGCTACTAGAAGTTAATGTAGATTCAGCTGATATTGAATTTGGCTCCATATCAGAAATACATTCAGTTTCACCTAATAATTGAAAGCACACATTATTAGATTTTATATTAGAATATTTTATAGATTCAAAAATTAAATTTTAATTATAAATTACTTGTGGTAATAGTAGAAGTAGCTAATTTTGAAATTGGGTTCATATCAATGGACAGTGTCGACAATGGTTCAGTAGAAACCATACTTTCGGTTGTATCTTATAAATTAAAACACACATTATTAGAATATTTTATAAATTCAAAAAAATAAATTTTAAATATAAATTACTTGTGGTAATAGTAGAAGTAGCTAATTTTGAAATTGGATTCATATCAATGGACAGTGTCGACAGTGATTCAGTAGAAACCATACTTTCGGTTGTATCTTATAAATGAAAACACACATTATTAGATTTTATATTAGAATATTTTATAGATTCAAAAATTAAATTTTAATTATAAATTACTTTTGGTAATAGTAGAAGTAGCTAATTTTGAAATTGGGTTCATATCAATGGACTGTGATTCAGTAGAAACCATACTTTCGGTTGTATCTTATAATTGAAAACACACTTTATTAGATTTTATATTAGAATATTTTATAAATTCAAAAAATTAAATTTTAAATATAAATTACTTGTAGTAATAGTAGAAGTAGCTAATTTTGAAATTGGGTTCATATCAATGGATAGTGATTCAGTAGAAACTGTACTTTCAATTGTATCTTAAAATTGTAAGCACACATATATAGGTTTAATATTTATATAATACTTTATAGATTCAAAAAAGAAACTTTAAAATTTATATTTCTTCATTCTTGTATAGTGATATTATGGATAGTGACTATTAATATATTAGTCTTATATTTTTAACTACCTAGTTATATTAGAAAATAAAATAAAATATTCTTACCTTTCACACTTGAGGAAAAACTAAGTTTTTTTTGACTTTTGTCATAGGCACATTTAAGCAATTTCTGCTTTTCTTTTTCCTTTCTTTTTTCTGAACCAGCTTTGTATTTTCTTTTATACATCACGAATTACAGTTAAAATAATAATAGTTAATAGATACAACTTTACAAGACGTCACGAAGAAGTAATAATCTCAACAGACAATGTAGCATTAAAAACTTTTAATTTAGTTTAAATACCATGAGCCCATGAGCACAAATAAACATATTCAAAACAAAATAAATGAACAATGAACGTTGTTGAACAATAAATTATTTTCGTAATTTGTATCATTGATTATTTGATTATAATATTAATAATTATTTATCATAGATTAGAATTCTGAATTTAGAACGGCTTGTTTATAAAAACATATTATTGGCTTTACAAACTATTTATAACCCTGCGGGCTGCGGCCTTCATGTGCCCGAGTACAATTCTTATCCAAAATAGAATAATTCAGTTACAATCAGTGATTACCAAGTCATACGCCCGTATAAATATAATATAATATTATTTAATAATCTCAACAATTTTACACTATTTATAACCAATAATACTTGTTTGTATGTATATAGACGGCTATTAAATTCGTAGAATGATAATTTTTATTATTTTTATAATTAATTAACATCTCAAAATTGTAAGCAAAAATACATTTCCAGATTTGAAAAAAAGAAAAATGTTTATTTTGTATTTCTATTTACTCTACGAATTAACGAGTAATAAAAATATTAGTAGGTACAAAACCAGGGGGCCCCAATTACCATAATATTAAGCCCGGGCCCCGTCCGAAAATTGCGGACTAGCGGTCCGGGCCAGTCCGACTCTGTATGTATATTTTATGTTATTAACTATTATACTAAGTACATAATTATAATCATTGAATATAAATATTAGTAATGTATATACTATATAATAAAATATTCACCGGACTTTTTTTACTAGGACTTTTTTACTTCGGACTTTTTTACGGCGATTCAGTACAGACACAACGATGAGTGACAGAAAGCAAAAATATAGTATTTTTCGAAAAGCAAAAACAGCAAATGTAATATATAGCATTTTTTTAGAAAATAAAAAGATACACATAGATTTTGCGTGTTGATTCTGTTAATTTACCTATCAGGTATATTAAGTGGAAGTAAATTATAAGCTCTTATTTAATTATAAAAGCGCATTATTAAATATTATTGAATAGGTAATAACCTTTCTTATTAAACACAAAATCGTAAAATTAGTAGTTTAAATTATTCACTTTTACTGTGTTATATAGGTAGGTACCTATAAGTAATTATAAGTACTATTATAAATGTGTAAACATAAACTGTTCAAAAATAAAAATAAATTTGATATCGATGTGTATATAGGTACTACGAATAAAGTTTTATATAAATTAAATATCTCGCCAAATGTGTTAAAAAAATTGTAGTTATGTTAAAATAGTAATACATAATTATATTATGTTGGCTAAAATTAAATATTTGGTAAATTAGTAAGTGGGCAGTTATTCTTTGTATTTCCCCGGGCCGAAATCTCACCCCGATCCGCCACCAGCGTTCGCGTTGTTACTAATTTAACCATGTAATGTAGGAATCATCCACCATTTTTAGGTTTTTTGAAAAATATATTCCCTATTTTAAGTATATAGTATCACTTCATGAATGGATTTCTAAGTTTGGTACAGTCATAAAAGTTAATATTAGTTTCTATTGGAAAATCTATAAATTACTAGGAATATAAATAATTAAACACCGCTTTGATACAATTATTATTAGTATTCAATGATTACCACTTAAATGCAAATAAGATAGCCAGCATCTACTAGTTGCATTACATAGGTAAATCATTTTTAAATAATTTTATAATATTATTTAGATGTGTAAAAAAGCTATTGAATCATATACAAAACAAATTAAATCATAAGTTTAAATTTTTTTGAAAAGTTTCAACAAGTCAGTGAAAACATGAAATTTTACATCTCTGGCTAGGGAAAGGTATAAATGAGTACACTGTTAGACCACTAGAAATACTACAACGAAAGATCATTAGAATTTGTGTAGGTAATATGTAGAAATGCTTTTTGAGAGGCCCTTTGAATAATTTCTCTCTTGGGCCCTGTAGGTACGTAATCACTAATCTAGTACATATTCCAATTTCAAAACCTATAATATAGGAATATACAAGTTAAATACTTTCTTATAATAATCATCCAACCAAAATTCGATGTTTTGCATATCATCCGTGACCTATGGTTCAGTGGTTTTATACATATAAGTATTATATTAGGTATATATATTATTTTATAATATTTTTTTTTTATTATTCAAGATATTATTATTATTTTATTTGTTTTTGTGTTTATATTACTGCCATTTTTTTTTTTTTTTTTTTTTTTTTTGGTTTTCGGTCATTGAGACCATACCGCCAAACAAATTTCTCTCCATCTATCTCTATTTTCTGCCACTACTCTCCATGGTATCTCTGGTTCAATGTTTTCCACGTCCCTTTTTACACAGTCTTCCCAGCGTAAGCGTGGTCTTCCTAAGGGTCTCTTACCGACCGGGTTCTCTTCGATTGTTGTTCTGACTATGGATCCTACTCTCCGCCATGCATGTCCTGCCCAGGTTAATCTTCTTTTCTTGATTTCATTCGCGATGTTCGGTCTCTGGAACACCTCTTCGAGTTCTTTATTATGACGTTTACGCCATTCACTTGTGTTTGTGTCAAAGCATGGGCCGTAGATTTTCCGTAAGATTCTCCTTTCAAATACTTTAAGTCTGGTTTCTTCTGCTTTCCTAAGTGGCCATGTTTCCGCAGCATACAGTACTATGGGTCGTATCAGGGTCATGTACATTTGTATCTTCAGGTTTGTCGATAATGTTCTTGAACTCAGTACTTTTCCAAGACCAAAAAAACTTTTGTTGCCTTTTTGTATCCTAGCACTGACTTCCATCTTCAGATCGTTATCTTGTGTTATCAAGTGCCCCAAGTATTTGAAATGTGTGACTCTTTTGAATACATGCCCTTCTACATTCATAGATTGTCCTTGTTGATATTCTCTGTCTTGTCGACTTACAATCATGTACTCTGTTTTTTCGTCGTTTATCTCCAATCCGACCTTACTAGCCATCGTGATGAGTTTCCTGCATACTTGTTTAACCGTTTCTTCAGTATCTCCTAATATCGCTATATCATCCGCATAAGCCAAGATATTTATGTTCGAGTTTCCCAATACTATTCCATTGTTACAATTTGTTGCTCTGATTACCTTTTCTAAAATTAGGTTGAACAATATTGGTGATAGCGCATCTCCTTGTCTTAGACCTGTCCTAACCGTTGCTGGTTCTGACGATTCCGATGCTACCTTTATTTTGATTTCTGTATTTTGCAGAGTGGCCTCAATTAATTTTATTAGTTTGTTCGGGAACTTAAACTCTTTTAATATGTTTATTAGACTATGTCGGTGGACAGAATCGTATGCTTTTTTGAAATCTACAAATAGTATACATATGCTTTTATTGAATTCCCATGATTTTTCTATGATCTGTCTTAAGCTGAATATTTGATCTGTTGTTAATCTGTTGGGTCTAAAACCACTTTGATAGTCTCCCAGTATCTCTTCCGCAATGGGTTTAATCCTATCTAAAATGCAATAGGACAATATCTTGTAGACCACATTCAATAAGGCAATTCCTCTGTAATTATTACATATTTTTGGGTCACCTTTTTTATGAATTGGACATACGACAGCGACATTCCAACCTTCTGGTAGTACTTCCTGCTCCCAAATGTGGGTTAATAACCTATGTATATGTGTTAATGAATCTTCGTCTAGCATTTTCATAATTTCACCTTGTATACCGTCCTCACCAGGTGATTTATAGTTCTTCAATCGCCTTATTTGTAATTCAATTTCTTGTTTTGACGGTATTGTACATTCGTTTAGGTTGGGTTCTGTCCTTTTCCAAGTAAAGGTTTCTCTGGGGTCGTTGCAGTTAAGCAGATGTTCGAAATACGTTTTCCATCTCTCTACAATATCTGATCGTGCAGTAATTAGTGTTCCATCTTCCTTTACTAGGAACTTTTCATATTTTTTGTAACCTCCCTTAAGTGTATTAATTTTTTTGTATAATTGGTGTGTATTATGTTCGTTGTGATATTTTTCTGCTTCTTCCAGAATGTTTTTCGTATAGACTCTTTTTTCATACTTAAAGGTTCGACTTGCTTCTTTTCTGCTTTCATTATACTTTGTTTTGTTTTCTTCATGGGAAGGGTCATTAAGGTACAAGTTTCTAAATGTTTTCCTTTGATTTAGGGCTTTCTCACACCTCTCATTGAACCACGGTTTTTTAGTGTTTTTTGGTTTTCCCAGGACTTCAGCTGATGTTTCTTTTATTGTCTCCTGTACCCTCCTCCACATATTATTTATTGAGTCTATATTATCTATATTTAATTCACTGCTGCGTTTGTGTATCTCACTTTTAAAGCGTTTACAGAAAATTTCATCTTTGAACTTAGTTATATCATATCTGTCTATTACCATTGGCCTTGTTGCCACCATTCTCTTCAGTCTTGCTTTAATTTTTACCTTAACCAAATAGTGGTCAGAGTCACAGTCCGCTCCTCGCATCGTTTTGACATCCGTAATACTGTTTTTGAACCTGTCATTGACCAGTACATGGTCAATTTGATTTGTGTGATTCCTATCTGGTGATTTCCATGTTCCCTTATTGATCTTTTTATGGGGAAACATTGTGCTCTTGATCACTAAGCCTTTGCTCGTTGCAAAGTCGATTAGGTTGAAGCCATTATTGTTAGATACTTCATGCAAGCTATGGTGGCCAATGGTTGGTTTAAATATTAATTCTTTTCCTACTTTTGCATTAAGGTCTCCTAATATAACCACTATTCTGTTATTAGGTATCCCATCTACTACGTTCGTTAATTCATCATAGAAGTCGTCTTTTTCTTCTTGAGTCTTTTCCTCAGTAGGGGCATGAACACTAATAATTGTGAGATTAAACCAGTATGCTTTAATTGTTAATAGTGATATTCTCGGGTTAAATGTCTTAAATTCCAT